TAATAATTAATTAAACTTTAATTAATTCAAACATATTGGTGGAGATATTAAAATTTACCTGAGCTAATAATTCCTACACATTTATATAACCATATCAAGCACTGACATATTCGGATAAGTCATAAGGCAGGACTACTCTGTACTGCTAAGCATGCTGCCACTCTGACTCTCAGCAAGAATTGCACTTCGAAGATGGAGAGATGGAAGATTCAACAGCTACAGAACACAATATCAGCACAAAGACTTAAGTATAAATGTTTCCCAACTTGGTGAGTGAGACAGAGGTGGCTGCGGTATTGTTACTGATGTAATGGTGCGATATGCCTCATTCATTATTCATGAGAAGACCTTACTGGACCTACACTAAACAAGAAATAAAAGCATTTTCACCTGAAGCTAAAGGAAATTTACAGATTTGGCACAGTATTTCAGGGAAATCATATACATCAGTCTTCCATGTCTGTTATTTTCATCTATATAAGAGAACTGGTCCATTATCCAAGGTGACTCACCATGTTATACAGGCGCATGTTCATATACAGCCATACCTTGTTCAAGGGCACCTCAGTGGGGGGAGGAGGGGGGTTCACAGGACCTGATCTGGCTTTTTTCTGATTAGAGGTTATGCTCCATTCATTAATATGTGTCAGCTGACTTTAGGAATAAAGAACAAAAAGGTTTCCTGTCTTTCAGAGAGCCTATGAACTTAAATAAATAGATCATCAACAACACTCTGGTCTAATTCTGCAATATAACATTTAGAAGCAGGCTCTCTGTATTTAACCTTTCATCTATCACTCTTGAGGTACATCCCACCTGACCACACAATTGCTGCCAGGCAAGGGGAAGGTAAAAGTGTCCCACAACGTGCCACACCTCAGGCAAACAAATCTAGAGGGAACTGCACGTACCAATAATTTGGAATGGCATGGTCTGAAATCTGTGGTGAATAGCAGGAATCTGAAAACCCCATCTGGGGGAAGGTAAATGAAAAAAAAACACCTGCACTGTATTTGGGTCCCACCATCACCACAATTACTCACACTCAGCTGGCTGAACCACCCACAATCAGAACTCAATTCATTCAGGCTATATGTACTGTAGCACCATGCCCACTGCAGGCACAGCACATCAGCTGTAACAGGAGACATTTCCAAACATCACACTCAAAAGTAAGGACCCAGATCTGTGGCTGAAATATTTAAATCCCAAAAGAGACTTTGCAATTATACTGCCGAAGCAGATGTTTATGCTAAATAGCTGGCTGTATAAATAGAGTATAGAGTCTATTCTGATAAGCTACTGTATGCAGGTCAATTTGCCAAGAAGTTTATGGAGGTAATAGCTGCTGGTGAGCAGGTAAAAATGGAAGTACTTTGATTCACATTTGCATTACAGGAACAGCAATGCATGGCCAAGGTCTGAATGTCTGAGTCTGCAGAAAGCATCCAAAAGTGGAGAGCTGACAGCAGCCGTTCAGGACTCTGGTCTTAAGTAAAGGGTGATTGAATGGGCAGTCTGGCAATTGATGGAGAATGGAAAGACATCACAAGGGAACAAAACCTCAGAGTTAGGCCAACACTAAGGAACAGGGCTGTCTATTTAGGTCTAAACAAGAGAACAAGTGCTCAGAGTTACATCATTTTGAAGGAACAAGGCCTCCAATTTAGGTCAAAACAAAGGAATATGACCTAAATCTGAGGTCTAAACAAGGGAATAAGACCTTGGAGTTAGGCTAACAAAAGTAAACAAGGCCCAGAAGTTAGGCTAACACAAGGGAACAAGGTCCTGAAGCTAGGGAATAAGATGTTTTAGTAAGGCTGGCACAAGGGATCAAGGCCCCTGGAGTTAGGCTAACAAGAGAACAAGGCCGCATTAGTTAGGCTAACATAAGGGAACTAGGCCCTAAGGTTAGGTCAACACCAGGGAACAAGGCACTAGGGTGAAACTAACATGAGAAACTAGAGTTAGGCTAAAACAAGTGAATGAGGCTGTGGAGTTAGACTAGCAAAAAGTCACCATTTCCATCTCAACAGTATCATCTTAAGCTAGCCAAGCAGCAGGTGTCTTCCTCTGTCTCACCTCTCGGCTTATAATCAAGACCATCAGCAGACCAAGCAGCAATAGCCAACTGGCATATGTGCTGCCAGAACGTCTCATTTAAAATTTTTTTTTAAAAAATCAGCTGCTTGCAACAAAAACATAAGGAAGCACAGATAGGAGGAAAGGTCAGATTGAAGTTTTCCAGACGAACTTGTGAAGGCTTGATGTTGTCAATATTCTTCATATCTAACAGTATAAATACAGGCATTTTCAAAGGACCTACATTATTTTATATTTACTATGTGCCTTGAACTACAAAAGGAAGTATAAAAATAAGCATCAGAATTTTATGACCTAATTCATGAAGACTGAAAAAGCTACGGTGAGTTTTCATTGAAGCAGAACATAGAACAAGGATTGCATTTGTTGTGTCACGCTCTGGCTCAGCTACTTAACAGAGACCGATGTGAAACTATTAAGCAGCACTCTGAAAGACGATTATCTCTCCCTCCACTGATCTCAGACAAAGGCAAAAAGCAAGCGTGTTATTATACAGAAACAAAAGCATCTTATGGTGGGCTATATAAGCCAGGGGAAGCCTATGCTTTTGGGAACATTCTGGATTATCCAGTGTGAAATGGCAATTTGAGGCATTGTCAGCCAACAGGCCCTCGATGGCACTGGTATGTATCCATGTCTGCAGCTTCCAGAAGGCACCTATGCAATGAAATATAGCCCCTAACCAAAAGCACTAATTGGCGGCACTTTTAGTCTGGCAAACCAAGGCACCCAGAAAAGAAGCACTCTCCGAACAAAGATGTTCTGCAATTGATTTTAGCAAGTCAGTGTCTAGAAAGCATGGGAGGTCAGTGTTGATAAACAGCTACGCTACCTGAATGCAGCACCTCTAATCCTGTAACTAACATGTCTTCCAGTGTCACTGGTGAGAGGGCAGGAGTTACCTCTTCATTCTCAATGTTCAGCGTGGCGAGACGGGACAGCAGCTGCTGAACCCTCAGCACAAGTTCAGCTTGTACAGGAAGTTGGGCAGTAATATGTGACACCTAATAGGAAAGAGAGTATGTCATGTGACAGGAAACCCTCTCAGCTCACAGGCGTTCTTAGATCTGTTTTTTGTTTGTTTTTTTATAACAAAAATGACAATTATGTTTAAAGTGGATAATCCACCATTTTATTTCTTCACTTGTACAGATTTAAATCCAGGAATCTAATGTAGGATTGAAAAAAAAACCCCAATGACTCAGTAAATGTGCGCTTTAACATTATCCTGAGGTAGAGACCTGCACTCCCGCGGGACCCAACGCACCGAGTGCGGCGCGGGACAAGATTTAATGGGTGAATGCGGGTTCGGGTGGTAAGGTCCTCATGTATGTGCAGGTTGCGGGAGAATAGAATTAATGGACTCCCGCAAAATGGAATTATCTTAAAATTAATTTATTAAAAACAAATATTCTATTATTTATCTACTGCACAAAAGCACCAAGAACAACTAAATTAAAATAATAACAATTTACAGGCGAATCGTCTACAGAAACTACAATTGCCGCGCTCTGAGTGCCGGGGGACGTAACAGGACACCCCAAGAAGGAATCAGCCTAGTGCTTGGACGGGATGGCATGTTCTGAAAAGCTCCTCGTTCGTGTCCATGTTCATCATTCCATTTAATTAAACTCAAATAAATCGAAACAAATTTGTTTATTTTCCGTTTCTTTTTATATATACTCAAAAGGAAATCAAGTGAAACAAATAACAGAGTAGCGGGAAGAAGCGGTAAAAATAAAACTACTTATATGTTTACCTGCGGGATTTTGCGGGCGGGAGCGGGACAAAACTTGAATACTGCGGGCGGGAGCGGGAGAAAATAATATATATTTTTTGCGGGAGCGGGACTGAAAAATCCGTCCCGCACAGGTCTCTATCCTGAGGCTAAGGGTGGCCATTTAGCTAATTTGGTGAGCTTGCCTTTTTCCATCATTAGAGCAAACCTGGCGGTAACAAAGGCAATTAAAAGCTAATTACATTCAGGAGATTTAACCCCTCCCCCCAAAAATACATCTTATTTAAAGAGATTTTTCAGCCAACAATCTGACTAAATGCAATTAGGGAAATGTGCTATAGTGTTATCACAAATGTTAACACAATATAGTGCTATAGTGTAAACACAAATGTTCTGGAACATTCTAACCTTTTCCTTCACTGCAGCAAGAGGCATTATTTACTGACCTCATCACCCATGTGTGGCTGGAAGTCAAACTTCATCGGGGGACAGAAGGCGGTGGGGTACATTTCCATGAACCGCTGTCTGTCGCTGCGGGAGTCCAGGCTGTCCACAGCATTCTCCAGGATGTCCAGGCCCTCATGGCGGGATGTCTCCAGGTTGTACTCCGCTGAGAGGTAGGTGCGCAGTGCCCGGTTCAGACTGGCATGGTAACCCAGGTCACAGCACTGCCCAACAGAACAGCACAACCCAGTCTCAACCAACTGCTGGGAAATGGCTTCCATTTGAAGCATGATTTGCCACTAGAAACTAACCTCATCTATCTTTATTTCTGCTAGATATAAAAACTAGGGCTCAAAATCCCTGAAATGTCTCTGTCAACCTATTTCAGGCAGTTTTGGTGCGTTCC